ATAGAGTGCAACTTGTTGGGAAAACAGAAATACGTTCTGTCTGGATGGAGTTTCCATGCTGTGGAGTAGCCTAATACATATCCTTCTCACTTAATGCCTATCTCATGTTCCAGCATTTCGCCTTCATAACAATAGTGGAAAATCAATCCTGCGGTTTTGAATGTTCACAATGAGTATCTGGCATTTCCGGTTTGCCACAGTTTGCGAGTAATGCCGGCTGTGATGTTGCTAGGTGCCATCTAGTCGGTTGCGACCCATGATGACCCTGTGCCCAACAGAAAGAAACAGTCCTGATCCCGGCTGTGATAGTTAGGGCTATTTGTCAAGGTGCCGAAGCCCAGGGCTTGGCAGTTATGCAATGATGCAGTCTTCCTCCATTTTCACAGACCGCCGATTTTTGTGTCATAACCAGGTCTTTAGAACCTACCATGCCAATGACTGGAGAGTCGGTGTACTCGAAAGTTCCCTGAGTTGAAGGCTTATTGCAGAGATGGTTGATTTCAGGGCTGAGTCAGACTATACTCTGAGATGAGCCCGGAGCTTTTTATTGTGCCAAAAAGTAAGGAAGTGCTCAAAGAATCAAGACTCCTTACCCAACAGAAACGGGAGCCAGTATGTAAAGGTCTTCCACTGATAACCAATTCCTCTAAGTCAACGTTGGACTCTCCCAGTTTTAGCACTGGAAATCCTGGGTAGCCCCTTGGTCCTGGGCAAGTGACCACACGTGACCACTCTTGTTCTGGTGAGGTGCCGTTGAGTCCATGCCAATTCACAGCAACCTGTGTCCAACAGGACAGAGCACCGCCCAGCTCACCATTGCGGCTACGCTAGAGCTCACTGTCCTGTCCACCCATCTCACTGACCTTCTACTTCACCGAGTGTGCTTTCCTTTTCCAGGGACTGGTCTTTCCTGATAACATGTCCGAAGTCCATGAGATGAAATCTCCCCGTCCTCACATCTAAGAAGCCTTCCCGCTGTCCTTTAAAGACAGATTTTCTCAGTCTGGCAGGCCGTGGTACTTCCACAGCCACAATGCAAATGCACCGATTCTTCTTCAGCCTTTCTCATACAGTGTCCAACTTCCACCTGCATGTGGAGTGGCTGAAAATATCACCTCAGTCCTCAAAGTGACATCCTTGCTCTAACTCAAAACAGTAGGATCGATTTCTGACTCCTGTCATTAATGTGACATGTGGGTCGTGAGCTAGGCATTAAGTGAGCGATGTGTACAAGGCTGCTAGGAGTCAGAATTGGCTCGATGGCCGTGAGCTGTGTCTATGAGGCTGCACCACAGTGTGGAAACTCAAGTCAGAGGAAACTTCTGTTTCCCCAACAAGTCACCCTCTGCACCTGTGGTCGATCTGGCCACTCAGATCTGGGACAGAGTGTATATTACAGTAAATGAAAGTGGTAGACATATCCCATTAAGAAAACAGGAAACCAAAGTATGTATATACAGATGTGAATAGATAGACAATTCTTTGATGAAGGGCAGGATATTTACATAGCTTCCAAATACCTTCCCATAAAATCCCTCCTTATTTACAAAGGGAAAACTTCTTAGAGGAGAATCCTGGCAGGTACACCCCCACCCCCCATAATCAAATAACCAAAGTGACCAGCATTCGTAATGAGACACATTACAACAGGGTGTTGCCTGATATGAAGCAATGAGAATACATGTACCATATATGTGATATTTCTATAAGATGCATAATCTAAATCTTATCACATAAGGGATCTTTAAAAAGCTCATGGAAATGCATATTAAGAAGAAAATATATGCAAAGACAAAATTTTTTCACTAAAATAAACTTGTACTAACTACAGATAGACATCGGTTTGAAAAGAGCCGGTATCAAAGTAGCATGCATCCTGCTAAAACTGAAGCAAGAAGAAACTCCAAACTTATGGTGAAGCTGGAGTGGGAGAACGGAGAAATAAATCATGTCCCACAGTCCTTCTCCAT